ACTACTAGAAATATGTTTGTATATGTAGATCTTTTGACCTTTTGGGAGTATGTGTCTAGTGCTGGTATTGCTGGGTTGAAAGTCGTATTAAAGGCTTTGGGATTATACTTCCTAATTTTTTCACAGAGCAATTGAAACAGTTAGCTCCACCAGCATGACATTAATGTGCCTCTTATCTCTTGACCTCTCCAGCAGTAGTCATTTTTTTGGTCACAATTGCTAATCTAATATGATAGAGTTTGATAGGATTTGATAGAGAACCTCAGGGTCGTTTTGCTTTTATTTCTATTACTTACTTGGGGAATTTTTTCATGTGATTGTTGATAGTTTACATTTCTTTTTTGAGAGTTATCTCTTAATTGTGGCAGCTAGATGGTGCAGTGGATAGAATATTGGGTGTGGGACAGACCTTAGTTTAAATCCTGTTTCACACACTTACTATCTGTGTTATCTTGGGTCAGTCACATTACCTCAGATTCCTCATCTGTAAAATGGGGAAAAATAACAAGACCAACTTGCTATCTACTATTCTAAAATAATATACAAAACAAGGTATTAGTTGTGTGGGTGATCAATAAAGGCTTCACGAAGGAATTGATGCTTGAACTGAGCTTTGAAGAAAGCTAAGAAGGGAATGAATTCCAGACATGGGGTAGGAGGCAGCCTTCTAAGGGTACATAGACATTAAAAGTGTCCTGTGTGAGGGACAAGCGAGAAGACTTCCCATTTACTCACATTTGTAGTCTTTTAGTCACCTTTGATTCTTTCTTCTTCTTTATTCTACCTGTCCTCTATTTAATCAGTTTTCTATTCCTCTCTGTTATATTGTCACATTTCTGGTATTCCTCTTCTCTCAACTCATGCTGCCCCCATCCTAAGCTGAGGCCCTAAGCTCTTAGCTGGATTGTTGTATATACCTCCTAATTTGTTTCTTTGCTTCTAGGCTCTCCCTTCTCTAATCCATCCTTCATACAGATCTGATCATGCCACTCCTCTGCTCAAAAATCTTTACTGGCTGCGTATTGCCTCTAGGACAGGGGTTCTTACCCCATTTTTATGGACCCCTCGGTGGAGCCTATGTACTCCTCAAAATAATATTTTAAATGCATTAAATGAAGTGCATAGGATTGCACAGAAAATGAATTATAATGAACTATAGTTACCAAAAATAGTAAAGCTGTAAGATAAGATACAAACTTCTTCGTTTGACATTTAACTTCTTCAGTAATCTGATGGCAGCTTACCTTTCCATCATTATTTATCCTATTCCCCTTCATATATTTTGTGTTCCAGTCAAGCTAATATACTAGCTGTTTCCTGAACCTGGTGTCCCATCTTCTGCTTCTGTGCATTAGCACAAACCGTTCTATCATGGCTACAAAGCAATTTCTCCTGACCTCTAACTTTCAGAATCATTCTCTTCCTGCCAAGCTCAGCCTACATGCCACATCTTCCACGAAACCTTCCCTAATTTCCCCCAGCTTCTAGTGTTTTTTCCTCCCCAAATACTTACTTATATGAAATATAAATAACAGAATAAATAATAAAAATGTTTATTATATATAAAATATAAAATAAATAAAAATAATAAAAATATAAAATATAATTACTTATCTTGTACATATTGTATCAGCCAGTCAAATATAAGCTTCTTGAGAGAACTGTTTTGTTTCTGTCCTTGTATTACTAGTGCCTAGCACATAGCCCTATGCTCATGTCATCATGGACTCTAAATTCAGTACAATATTTTAATATTTTTTCTTTTCAGGTAAAGTGGAATTAAAAAAATGAATGTCTTGCTAGTTTTTGTTCTAGTTCTATAGACTAGATAATTTATGTGTAGTTCAATAAAAGCTTTAAATTTAGCATTTTGAAATATATAGCTGTCTTGATTGTTTCACATAATGATAATATAATGAGTTTATTTTAATTTTATTCATATTGACCAAACTCCAGATTTCTAGAATTTTGTAGAGGTCATTTCCTTCCTTTTTATCTTGATCTGATCTTTTTTTTTTTTAACACTATTTTAATGATTACTGTTTTGCAAACTGTTTGAATGCTTGCCCTATGTTCTATCACTACACTGGGACTTTTACATTTTTGGATTCTAGTATTATTCTTTACTGTAGCATATGTTGTTATTCAGTTGTATCTAATTCTTTGTGACCCTGTGTACCATACTGTCCATGTAGTTTTCTTGGCAGGGATACAAAGGTAGTTTACCATTTCCTTCTCCAATAGACTAAGGCAGAGTTTGAGTGACTTGCCCAAGGACACACAGCTAGTAAGTGTTTGAGGCTGGATTTGAATTCATGTCTTCCTGACTCCAGGTCTACTACTCTGTCCTCTGGGTCACCACCTTGCTGCCTACTATAGCATAAGTAGTTTTTAATGGCTTAGTTTATTTTTAATTTTTCTTTTATTGATGCTTTTTGTTTTCATATTACATTTAATTCCTTTCTTTACCTTACTTTCATAGCAAGCCATCCTTTGTAACAAGATTGAAAAAGGAAAAAAAAAAAACCAGTTCAGCAAAACCAGCCAGCATATTGACCAAATCAGATTGCGTATATAGCACCCAACATTCATAATCCTTCACTTTGTTTTTTTTTTTTTGGTTTTTTAAGGCAGTTGGGGTTAAGTGACTTGCCCAGGGTCATACAGCTAGTAAGTGTCAAGTATTTGGTCTGAGGCCAGATTTGAACTCAGATCCTCCCGACTTCGGGTCAGTGCTCTATCTGCTGCACCACCTAGCTGCCCCAGTCCTTCACTTTGACAGTGAGGGGAGGGAGGTATATTTTCTCAACTCTTTTCTATTGCCATACTTGGTCATTGTGTAGAGTTTTATTTTTTTGTTCTCTCTGTTACATTGTTGTAATTACAGATATTATTTTTCTAGTTCTGCTTATTTCACTTAGTAGCAGTCAATTTTAAGTCATTTCTCTGCGTTATTCATATTTAGTGTTTCTTATTATACAGTAATTTTCCATTATATTAATGTATCACCCTTTGTGTAGCTATAATCCAGTCAGTGCCTACTTTGCTTCTAGTTATTTGGTGCCACAAAAAAATTCCATAATTAATATTTTAGTTTATGTAAAACTTCTTTATCTGTCTTTGATTTCCTACCAGTATATGCCTAGCAAGGGGATTTCTGGAGCAAAGGATATGAATATTTTAGTTCATTTTGGGGAGAGGAGAGACATGATTCCAAATTTCTTTTCAGAATTGTTGGACCAATTCATAGCTTCACCAAGTGTATTAGTGAGGTTTCTTCTATCCCTTCTAACATCGACTATTTTCATACTTGTCTTTAACAGTTTGCTGTGTGAGAGGTAAAGCCTCAGAGTTGTTTTCATGTGCATTTCTTATTGTTACTGATTTGGAGCAATTTTGTCACATGGTTGTGATAATTTTCAAATCTTCTTTTGAAAACTATTCATATACTTTGACCATTTATGTATTGAGGAATCGTGATTGATTTTACATATTTGTGTAAAAATTCTGTATGATTTGAATATCAGATTTTTGTTAGATATGTTTTATGCAAAGATTTTTTTGAACCTTGTTTCTTCACAACAAAATGGGCACTAACTTTACTTTTGTATCCTAGGATATTTTGAGAATAAAGGGGCAGTGTTGCTATTATTAACTGGCTAGGTAAATGTGTTAGAGTAAGTACATGGAATTATTTCTCATATATCTCAATTGAGTATGTTATAAATTCCCGTGAATAAAGGAAAATATTTCTGTAAAACATATGATACCTATTCATTTAATATTTTTCCTTTTTATTGAGATCTCTCATTTCATCAGTATGTAGAAACATCTGCTACTGATGCTGATGGACCACTTTTCTGAAACTGAGAGTCTTAGAAACATGCTGGCATAGAGAAGTGAAGGCACTTGCCTTGCTCATACAGCTGGTGTGTGACTGAGTCAGGGTTTGAATACAGGTTTTCTTTTCTGGTTGACCTTTCATATGCTTCATCACTGATTTTCCTGCATATCTTAATGTTCTTTCTCATGTCTTCATTCAGAGTGCAGCATAGTGGATAGAGAACTGGCCTTGGAGCCAAGAAGACCTGAGTTTAAGGCTTGCTTCCCTTCCATACTGCCTTTATGGATGGATGGATAGACCTGCATGTATCACTTATTCTTTCAATGCCCTAGGCAGCTAAGACTGTGAGTTACTTGCATTGGTAGAGGGAGTATGCTGCTATACTAGTGAAATCACAGCTCTAGTCCCTATCGTTGTCTCTATCCGTATGCTTTATACAGGGTATTATTATCATTAGGTCTTTAAAAATGGTATCCAGATCTGTCTTCTGAGTTATTGATTTAATTGTTCACAATTCTTTTTTTAGATTTTCTTCCATACCAATCTGTACAAATTGTGGAGCCAGGAGGGTTCCATGTACCATCTGCTTAAACAGTGGCTATGACCTATCCATCTTGCTTCATCAAAAAAAATGTTCCAATGTTTTGTGATTTCTCTACACTTTTCTACTTAACCAGCTTGCCTCAAGGATATTCTCTTTGTAGTCTCACTTTTCCTAGATTGATTTTGTTAAGTCTTCTAATCCATGACACTGTTGCTATTCTAAATTCTCTGAACAGATGAATAATACCAAAAAGAGGAGGGTGTGTTAATTAGTTCTAGGTCTGTATCACCACAATCAGATATTGTGTATTTTGCATTTCTAGGATAGTCCATTTAAAAATGCATCTGACTGCAGATCTTGAGACATAGTCAGGAAGACCTGAACTCAAATTCTGCCTTGCAGTCTTACTAACTGTGTAACCCTGGGCAAGTCACTTATTCTTTTCACCTCTGTTTCCTCATTTGTAAAATGTGGATAATATATTGCACCTACCTTACAGGATTGTTCTAAGAATCAAATGGGATAATATATGTAAAGTCTTTGTAGACCTTAAAGGACTATATAAATGCTAATTATCATCACATTTTTAAATGTTTTTCTGTTTGCTCACAGTAATCACGGGCCAGCAACGAGGTGGTGTCATCTCAGCGAAGACTCGAATTGATGTCCTTGTGGAGAGTTTCCGAAGAAAACAGCCCTTCACTCACTTCCTTTCTTTCTCCCTCAACCAACCTGATGTTCAGGAAGGGTTCTTGAAGTTCCAGGAGAAAGTCTTGGAGAAGTGCTCAATGGTAAGCGGCAGCTGCAGTGTTCATTGTAGGGCTTCTCTGTCTCTGGGGGATCAAGGCTCATTACATGACAAGACTTTGATTTTCTCCAAAGATGGAAAAAAAGTGTGATGGTGAAGTAGCTTTAGGGCATGTTAAATTAGTTCGTCTATGTTAAAAAATAACTGTTAAACCTACCTGAATAGACTCTGAATGTACTAAATAGTACTCATGGGTCATTTAAAATAGATATCTTTCAGGTTAAAACTTCAAAGAGGCTCCTGAATTTATGCAGAGAAGAAATTAATAATGAAACAGAAAGTAACTGAGTTCAGACTGAGGTTAATTACATATTCTGGTTATGGAGGGATTTAAAAGAATAACGGGCAGATCTTCAAACTGAAGTCATAATATATTGGAGATCTAACAGAAGGTAGCAGACCTTGAATGAGCTCTGTTTCTCTCTTCAATTATATAATACAATAGTTTTTTGTTTCATTTTTAAAGTAAGTTTTTATCAATACCTTTTGTTTTTACATTACTTATATTTTTCATCATATCTCTTTCCATTCCAAGTGAGCTATCCTTAAAGAATAAAAAAGAGAAAAAAAAACCCAGGATAGCAAAACTAACCAAAACATCAAAACAATTTGACAGCATCTGCAGTGGTGTGTCCCTGTAGTCACTCACCTCTGCAAAGAAGGGAGGGGTGTGCTTTCTCACATCTCCTTACTGCTGAGTTGGTCCTTATAATTTTATAATATCCAGTTTTGATTCTTTTGTTGTTTCCATTGTCTTCCTGGTTTTGCTTACTTCACTTCGTATTGATTTGTAAATCTTTCTATGTCTCTCTGTATTCGTCATAGTCATTGTTCCTTACAACAGTGTAACTATTCCATTACATTCATTTACCTCAGTTTGTGTAGCTATTGCTGAATCTGTGGGCATCTACTTTGTTTCCAGTTCTTTACTGCCATGAAAAGTACTGCTATAAATGTATTGGTTTATATGGGGCCTTTTTGTTATTGACCTCCCTGGGGGTAGCATTGGACATTGTGGATCAAAGGACATTTTAGTCACTTTCTTTGCATAATTCCAGATTCCTTTCCAGGATAATTGTACAAGTTCATAGCTTCACATGAAGTGTGTCTATTCATAAATTGCTCCAACACTATTTCTATCTTTTGTCATTTTGCCAGTTTGCTGAATATGAGGAAGAACTTCAGAGTTGTTTTGATTTGCATTCTCTTATTATTAGTGATTTGGGGCATTCTTTTATATGGTTGTTACTAATTTGCAAGTCTTCTTTTGAGAAATGTTTGTTTACTCTGACCACTTTATCTATTGGGAATGGCTTTTGGTCCTACATATTTCTGTTAGTTGTTTATGTATGTTGTCAGTCAGACTCTTGTCAGTCGGTTAACAAACATTTATTAAGCACTAACCAAAGTAGGTGGTAGTTCCAGGTACTGTGCTAAGCTTGGGGATACAAAAAAGGCAAAAAGTCAGTCCCTGCCCTAGAAATGCACATTTTAATGAAAATATGTACTTGGAAATATGTTCAAGATATACCTAGTGTAAATGGAAGGTAATTGCAGTGGGGGTTGGGATAGGGTGGGGTAGAGACTGGGAAAAGTTTTTACCAAAGGTAGGTTTTGAGCTGTACTGGAGGAAACCAGAGGGAAAGAGTTCCAGGCATGGGGACAACCAGGGAAAACCCTTGGAGTGAGAAGATGAGTGGTGTGTGTGAGGATCAGTATGTAGGCCAGTATGAGTGGATTGTTGAGTGCCTCAAGGCAGAATAAAGTGTAAGATGAATGGAAAGGTGTGAAGAGCTTTAAATGTAAAACAGGTTATATAATTGATCCTGGAGGCTTTAGGGAATTGCTAGAGTTTATCCAGTGGGAGGTGATGTGGTCAAATCTGATCTTTAGGAAAAGCGCTTTGGAGAATGGAGTGGAGTACTTGAGACAGGGAGACCAATTAGAAAGCTATTACAGTAGTACTGGCAGTAGGTGATGGGGCCTGTGCTAGTGTGGTGGCTGTGTGAATTGAAAGAAGAGGATATGTAGGGGAGATGTTGTCAAGGCACAAATGACAGGATTTCACAAAGGGTGGGATATGTGGAGTGAGTACAAGTTAAGGATGATTTTGGATTGTTAGTTTGGGTGACTGGAAGATTGGTGAAACATTTGATACAAGGGTTTTTTTCCCTAGTCAGCTGCTTCATGTCTTATAGGTGCATTAATTTAGTTTGTGAAAACTTTTTAAATTTCACATAATGAAAAGTAACTATTTTGTCTTTTCTAATTGCCTCTATCCCTTGTTTAGTTAAGAATTATTCACCCTTTAGCCATAGCTATAAAAGGTACCTGATCTGATTCTTTTCTGATTTTTATGCTATTATCTTTAACATTCAAGGCATGTAGCCATTTTAAATTTATTGTGGAATTTGGTGCAAGGTGTTAGTCTTAACCTAATTGGAAGTTCTTACTTAAGAACTTACTTAAATTTTTGCCCAGGGGTTTGTTTAACACTGGACTATGTTCAGTTATTGGTAAGTTTTGCTTACCTAGTCTATTCCTTTTATAAATGCTTCTTTTTATCAAACCAGTTTCAATGATTATTGTTTTTATAGTATAGTTTGAGATTGGTGGTTATCACAGATGATTTTCATACACTAAACCCTTTTAGTTTATTTCCCTTGAGATTCTCAGCCTTTTGTTCTTCCAGGTGAATTTTGGTATTTTTTCTAGTTTCACAAGTTCTAACTCTTTAAGTGTCTATCATTAAGTTCCAGGCACTCTGCTAAAAGTGTTGAGGAGATAAAGAAAGACAGCAAACAGTCCTTAGCTCTCTAGGTGCTCACAGTCTAATGAGGCAGAAAGCATACAAATAACTATGTAAACAAAACAAGATATACACAGGATAAATTGATGGTAGTATCTGAGGGAAGGCATTAAAATTAAGGAGGACTGGGAAAGGCTTCATGCAGAAGATCAGACTTTGGTCGAGATTTGAAGGAAGCCGGGGGAGCTGGGAAGTAAAAATGAGGAAGGAGAGTCTCCTAGGCATGGAATGGCTAGCCAGTGACAATGATTGCAGTTAGGAGATAGAGTATGGCACTTAATCTGTAAATTTTTTTAGTATCATTATTATACTGGTGAAACCAACCATGAGTATTGGCAAGCTCTTCTGTTAACTTCCTATATTCCCGTAAAGAGTGTTTTGTAGTTATGTTCATATAAGTCTTAGGTAGGTTGAATTCCAGATCGTTATGTATATTATACTTAATTTTGAGTGGAAATTTTTTGTTTCTCCTCTTGCTGGCTTTAATGAGTATTACATAGAAAGGCTGATGTTTTTGGTGTTATTTTGTACCCTGCTACTTTTCTGAACTTACTAATTGTTTTGATTATTTTTTTTTCATTGAATCATTGAGATTCTTTAAGTAAACTATCATGTTGTTTGCTTATAGAAATAGTTTTGGCTTCCTCTCTGCCTATGCATATTACCTCAATATTTTTCTGCTTATTTTCTCTAGCTGACATTTCTAAAACTACGTCAAATAATAGTTGTAACAGTAAAAATCCTTGTTTTGTCCTGATCTTATCGGAAAGCCTTCTAGTTAATATTTCTCCAATATAAATAATACTCTCGGTTTTAGACAGATGTATGTTATCATATTAAAGATATGTCTTTTTCTTTATATGATTTTTGTGCTTTTAACAGAAGTATTACATGTTTTTTAAAATTTGATGTTTTAATTCTGAACTTAAACATTAAAAAAGCAAATTTCCATGTGTACAGCAGAACACAGAAAAGAGACTTGTATATGAAACTGAATCCTATTTCATACTGACTTTTCAAAAAAGTATGTGACAAAGTCAGCAAGTTAGTTTCAAATCTGTCCCGTTTACCTGTGCTTCTTTCTGAATTTCCTTCTTTTTTGTGCATTTAAAAAGTTTTAATGCCTCTGTTAACTTTCCCTCTTTACCACAGCCCACTCTCCCCTAAAAACATAAAGAAAAAACACTTGTAAAAAATAAGCATAGTTAGGCAAAACAAATCCACAGAGAGGACCTGTTCACTTTGAGTCTGTCATGTCTCTGTCAGGAAATGAGTAACATACTTCATTCTAAGTCCTCTGGAAACATAATTAGTCATTCACCTATGAAAGCTCTTAAGTCTTTCAAAGTTGTCTTTCTTTACAATGTGGTTGTCTTTGTATAAGTTGTCCTCCTGGTTCTGCCCATTTCGCTATTCCTCAATTTTTATGCTACGAAGATTCTCTGATATTATTTCTTTTGTCATTTCTTTTTTATTTTAAACTATTTTTTTTTCTTTTTGCTAGGCAATCAGGGTTACGTGACTTGCCCAGGGTCACACAGCTAGTGTCATATGTGTTCTGTGTGTGTGTCTGAGTCCAGATTTGACTTTAGGTCCTCCTGACTCCAAGGCCAGAGCTCTATCCACTGCACCACCTAGCTTCTCCTCTTTTGTCATTTCTTATGGCACAATAATACTGCATTACATTCTTACATCATTGAGTCAGTAAATATTTATTAAGCGCCTACCATATACCAGGCACTGTGCTAAGTGCTAGGGGTACAAAGAAAGGTCAAAGACAGTTCCTGCTCTCAAGGAACTCACAATCTAATGAGAGAGACAACATGCCAACAGCTATGTACAAACAAGCTATAATCAGTCAAGGGAGGGAACTAGAATTAAGGAAGATTAGAAAAGGCTTTCTGTTGAAGGCAGGATTTTGGTGGAGATGAAGAGGGAAAGCATTCCATGCATGGAGGACAGCCTGGAAAAATGCCCGGAGTTGGGAAATGTAATGTCTTGTTCAAAGAAAAGCAAGGAGGCCAGTATCACTGGATTATGGAATATATAGTGGGGATTGGGGGGTACTGCAAGGTATAAGAAGATTGGAAGGTAGAATTGGGGAGGGGCAGGTTATGAAGTGCTTTGAATGCTAAAGGACTTTATATTTGATCTTGGAGGTGATAGGGTGCCAC